CTACAGGCTGGGCACAGAGTGGCTGGAGAGCAGCCAGGCAGAAAGGGACCTGGGGGTGCTGATGGACAGGAGGCTGAACATGAGCCAGCAGTGTGCCCAGGGGGCCAAGAAGGCCAATGGCATCCTGGCCTGCATCAAGAACAGTGTGGCCAGCAGGAGCAGGGCAGTGATCCTTCCCCTGTACTCTGCCTTGGTGAGGCCACACCTTGAGTATTGTGTTCAGCTCTGGGCCCCTCATTTCAGGAAACACACTGAGGTGCTGGAGCGGGTCCAGAGAAGAACAACGAGGCTGGTGAAGGGACTTGAGCACAAGTCCTATGAGGAGAGGCTGAGGGAGCTGGGGTTGTTTAGTCTGGAGAAGAGAAGGCTCAGGGGTGACCTCATCACTCTCTACAACTACCTGGGAGGAGGTTGTAGCCAGGTGGGGATTGGTCTCTTTTCCCAGGCAACTATCAGTAAGACAAGAGGGCACGGGCTTAAGCTCTGCCAGGGAGGTTTAGGTTAGATATTAGGAAGAAATTCTTTACCTAGAGGGTAATCAGGCATTGGAAAGGCCTGCCCAGAGAGGTGGTGGATTCACCATCCCTGGAGGTTTTTAAGATGAGACTGGATGTGGCACTGAGTGCCATAGTCTAGTAATCCAGTGTTGGATCAAATGTTTGACTTGATGATCTCAGAGGCCCTTTCCAACCTGGCTGATTCTATGATTCTATGAAAAGGAAACTGACAACTATATTTATGAACAGCTTTATGTTATCAACACTATCTTTCTGTAATGTTGGTGAGTAGCATTGTTAGACCTTATTTTTGAAACGCATAGAGAATTTTTTTCCCTGGATATCAGGATTTGCTAATGGTGTTCTCTTTAAAATGTGTGCACACAGTCATGATACTGAACCTATAAACAAGGAATATATTCCTCTAATTATATTCTCTTCAACTGTGACATGCAAATTCAATACTTTCAAATTCAGTTGCGAGCTTGGTGCATGTAAACCTTAACTGTGATTGGATTGCAGGTGTGGAAACAATAAACAAAACCAGTAAAAGTATATATGTTTTTTTTAATTTCTATGACTTAGACAAATTGTTTTTTCCTAATACCGTCATCAGTGACAGTACAGCTTTCAAATGCATTAAAAATATTTTTGAGTGAAAGGAATAAAGGTGTAACTGATCAGAAAAGCGTTGTTATTACTCAAACACAAAGAGCACCCTAAGGCTGAGTCATCTGTTTAAACTATACACGGAAATGTTAGTCGTGATTTAACAAATGTTTTCTTTGCTCAAATGTGACGCTTGGCTTAAAGAGAAACACTTTATTAAAGTCACTAACCGAGAAAGGAAAAAATAGTTCTGGTGGTGTTGGAATGAACTGTAAGAGGATTTCAGGGGAAAGAATTAACTGGTAAATAACTTCATTTGAAAACTTAAACAAATTTGGATTTCTTGGGAATAAGATCTTTTAATCGGTGTGGATTGGAATGGCCAACCAGGTGGAGTATTTTTCAGCAGGTTTTTTGGCAAGAACATATAATGAAGTTCTAGACTTGTCAGAATACAGAATACTTCTGTATATACAGTCTTCAACATAAAATTTCTACTTTTCATCCTTCTGAAATGAAAATTTCTCTTAGAATCAGCCTAAATGGGCTTCTGCTTGTATGTGTCAACGTCTTGAATGTCAGTAAGCTACAAACTTTATACTGCGCTGAAAGTTTGCTCTTTTACTCCTTTGCATCTATTCAAGTTAAAATACATAATTCTTCACAGAGGAAATTGTATATGAAATATCTCTTAAAGTAGATATTTGGGATTTTTATGATTCTAACATGGTTAGAATCCATAAGTGAGTACAACCAGGAGTACAATTTGTAAAGGTATTTGTTGTATGAAACATTTGACAGCAAGGAGACATTATTTGTGGCCCTTGTTACGTAGAAAATAGCACTACATTACTTTTTGCCATGGGCTAAGGTTAGTTAAGTCCCAAGATATATGCAACAAAGGGAAGCTCAGTGGTGTGGCATCTGGGATTTGGTGGAAATGAGAATTTGGCAGGATCTAGACTTTGTTTTTAAAACTACTGGGGTTTTCTACAGAGTGACCATAGACAATATGGCTGGATGCATTGCATCACTCCCATCTTTGTGAGATTTTTACAGGTAAAACCATACTTATCTACTGGATAGAGACATAAAAACTACTACTAATAAGTACAAATAAGTTTCTGACACTTGAACTTCCTGCTAAGTTGTTTAGAATAGTAAATCGTTCTCTCTTAACTGCAGCACCCCTGTCTCACAAGAAAGGGCAGTATGTGCATGCAGGAAAATACACAAGTTTTTCTCCTGAATTTAGTGGCAACCACCACTGAGGTCAGCAGAAGGGAATGGCTACATCAGGTTTGGGGCAATCTTACGGCAGAAGTGACTTCACTGAATTGCTCCTGATTTCTGATCCTATCCTTTTCTCCTCACTTGTGGAGCCTTCCTATCTCAGTTGTATTTTGTTCTTTTCCTGCAGGAGAAAATACAAGAAAACGTCACAGAGGTAAGAGTAAATCACGGAGGACTGCAAGGTATTTGTGAGTTATCTGTCTCTTTTTGTTTGAAAGATGATTTTCCTGTTGGCAGGTTGGTGTTTTTTATTCAGGGAAATGCCATTCTAGTGGTTGTTTCCCCATTTGAAAGTCCATCTTGTGCTGCTGCTGCTCCACATCTCTTCTGCTGCTAGTGGTAGTC